CCCCAAAACCCCAAAACCCCAAAACCCCAAATAGTCTAATATAAATAGGAAACAAAATCTTATTAACTAAATAATCGATTTATTAAAAATGAGGAATAGAGACGACTCACTTAATAGTGAAGGGTATGATATGTCTTTTAGAAAAGTAAGTAAATTAAGGTTTAGAGGCGAGATAGAGGGGATTGGAGGGGTTTTGAGAGGTTGGAATTGGATTCTGGGCCAGGGGTGTATAAATAGGATTTGAGAAGTGAGTATTTGTTTAGATTATGATGGGGAAGTTTTGGTTAGATTGTCAAATTTATGATGGATAGAGATGGAATTAGAAGATAATATTTTAAAGTTAAGCTTTGATTTGGTTAGTTCTTACTATTTTTCTTTCCATTTAATTCTATAACCATTTCATTTCCTATAGAGCTCTTTGGAATCAAAGTTATTAGAAGGACACGAAGTAGATTTAAATACAACAAATAGCTCAAATGGATCAGATTTGCTGATAAATAAAGAAGAAGTCAATGTTCTTATAGTCTACACAGGAGGAACTTTCGGTATGATCAGCACAAAGAAAGGCTACAAGCCTCAGAAGAATCTTCTCTCAAACCTCCAAAGCTCAAATCATCTCTTTGATGAAGAATACTCAAGAATGAATTATATCAAAGGTACTTCTTGCACTCCCCTTACTTGGCACAAGCAAAGGATCAGATACCATCTCCTTGAGTACGATGATCTCATTGATTCATCAGAGCTCAACAGTAGACACTATAAGAAAATCGCTTGTACTATAGAAGATAATTATGAAAAATATGATTCGTTCATCATAATTTATGGAACAGACACGATGTCATATATGGCTTCCCAACTTTCCTTCATGTTGGAAAACTTAGCCAAAACTGTTGTAATTACAGGAGCTCAGATTCCCATCTCAGAATGGAGAAATGATGCAGAGTCAAACCTCATCGGAGCTCTTACAGTAGCTGAGCATTGCATCCCTGAAGTGACTGTCTTGTTTTAATGGATCTTTATTCAGAGGTAATCGAATCATCAAGTCTGACTCTACCAAAATGCAGCCTTTTAGCTCTCCGAATTTTGGAAAGTTAGCGACTTTCGGGGTCTTTCTGAACTACAAGAAGAACCTCATCAGGAAGCCTCCAGCTCCAGGGTTAACATTCAAAGTATTCCACATGAGTGATAGAAGGATTTCGCTGATTTACATGCATCCTTTGATGACAAAGGATATATTCTTAAGTTCCTTTAAGAAGAGCAAAGCTATCATCCTGCAGCTCTACGGCATGGGAAATTTTCCAATGGAAAGAACAGACTTAGTTGAAATAATCAAGGATGCTGTCCTAAAGCATAAGAAAACCGTTATAATTACTAGTCAATGCAGAGCAGGCATGGTGAAAGGAAGCTACTCTAGCTGACTTGAACTCACAAGGATTGGTGTACTTCTCTCTGAAGATATGACGACTGAAACTGTCATTGCTAAACTATCCTATGCCCTAGGCAAAGGATTTAGAGACAAAGAACTCGAAGAAGTCATGCGCTCTGACCTTAGAGGAGAGATTTCTGCTCCTGTAGAAAAGATACAGGATGAAAATCAATTAACTTTATCAAACATTTTAACAATGAGTAATATTCTTCAAGATTCGACACTGGAAGACTTAAATAAAATGGCTGAAATGCTCCAATCAAGTTTGACTCAAGCCAAAACTAATGAATACACAGTAGAGAAGCTCCAAAAATCTTTGAAAGATGGAGTGGACATTAACTCAAAGAATGACAGTGGAGAAGCTCCTATCCATATTGCAGCTAAAACTAACAATGAAGATCTGGTTGATTTCTTAATTAACCAAGAAAATCTCGATGTCAACTCTTTGGATATAAAGGAAAATTCACCTCTTTATTATTCCTGTGTAAACGGAAGTTCTTCTATAGCCACTAAATTGATCTCTAAGGGAGGTTCCTGTCTCTCAAGTCCTGGCTGTCTTGCAAGGACCTTAGAGAGTAAGGCTAAAATAAATGATATTCAGAGTTTGAAGTTGTTCCATTCAGCTGGCGTTAATCTCGATGCAATAAGCTGTAAAGTAAAAATACTCAAAGAAGCCTCCAAGGATAACAACAATCAAGATGAAATGAACACCACTACCTCCAAAATAAACCCAGCAATTGTTGCTGCTTTCGCTGGTTTCAAGGAAGGATTCATGCTTGATGAAAAGTCTTCATCTCCTGTAGGCCTGAATAATTCAATCTAGTGCTAAATAGCTTCATATCTACAATCTTTATCCAAATATTCTTTTCAAAATTTAGAATAGAAGTTATTTATAAAGATGTCTGAAAAGCTTTGGCTTTATAAAATTTCCCCATAAATTTGTCAAACAAAAATGCACCAAAAAGTGCTGATTTATTAAGCGAGCGGCTTCTAGTGTCTATAGTTTGGCAAACTTGAGATTTATCCAAACTAAGCAATCATTGGGTTGAGAATTCTGCACTCGAAGTACATTGGGATTAGCCAAAGATTTCAGCCATTATTAAAAGCCTGTTGAGATTTTCAATTATTTTCGAATGAATAGGGGTTTTGGGGTTTTGGGGTTTTGGGG